TAATAGCCCAGTCAATAAACTAAAAAAAGTGCCGTTTGTCGCAACTAATTAGGGGAAAGCTGATTTTTTTATATGTGATAGACCCTTATGGGATGTGTATTTTCTCAAAAAGTCCCCGCCTCTCCCCCTTGTGCTTCCCCCCCCCCCAATCCACCCTTTTAGCCTAAAAATGCAGAATTTCAATAGATCGCCTATAACTGCCTTAAAATCAATCGTAGCGAATAATTTTTTATTTCATTTTGTTCTTTATTACTTTAAAAAAAAGTTTGGTCGCTATGCATGTTTCTGAAGACGGAGGAAGTTAAGCTAAATCAAATTTTGATTTTAGTGTATTGCATTGTCAGTCTTGTAAATTTAACGTACCGTACCGAGCTTCATTTAAGCTGGCGTAGCTTCCAAGTCCATGAATATCGAGAACAAATTTTTCTCAATTTTCACTAGGTCATCTACAGCAACATCTGTTTGAAGAAAAATCTCTGCTATCTTCTTAGATTCTGCACTGGTCTTGCTCATTTCAATAGCTTTTGTCTTTCCAAGCCCATAGAAGGATGACGTGGTATCGCAACCACTTATTGCGTGGGCAAATAGCAAGCAATTCCTGTTATCTTTGTACATCTTAATAGCCTTCTCTATACTGTAGAATGTCTTCGAAGGAGCTTTACCACCTAAATAAAAAAATAATAAATTGACTTCCCTTCAGGCACACACCTTACTAGAAGGACAAGAAGACCCGTATCTGTTCTAAAGACCATCATTTTTGTGGAACCTATAGCAGCTCATAGGTTCCACAAAAGTGATGGTGAACGCCAGTTTGAACGATGTCAACATCAACATCCCCGGTTGCTTTGACTGTCTTAAAACCACATTAATTCAACTCGTGACACAGTTCCTCGATAATTCTTTCTCTGTTCTTATTTGATAGGAAAGCTTCTTTCTTAGTCAAACATTGTGTTTCGTTTCTGTTAAATTCAATATTGCACGATGAGAAATTAGCTGATCTTCTCCTTTGCTCTTCAGCAGTAGATGGTTCGTCCAACTATACATCGAAAACAATGGTTGAGTTTTTCCCAAATGTAGCATTTACATAACATGAGTATGATTTAACAATATCGCCGTACGCACTCTTAGTTGGCCATACAACAGAATGAAGTAGATGTCCTCTATCAATGACAAATGATTTTCCAAGTCAACTTCATCGAGAACACTTTATCTAAACACTTTAACCATTAAAGATTTAGTTCCTTTGCGAATTTTGCGTCTCAGGTACTAAAGAATGAATGTAGGAATGTGTATATGTTTTTTTGCGATTTAGACTAAAAATAAAAAGACAGGGTATTAAACTGTAGGTGGAATAAGATTAGGACTTTTATAAATAAATTTGTTTGCAAAAGCTTTTTATGTAGAATTTCAGACAGACCCATGCATCAAATTTAACAATTGATAATTCAAGTTATTTAAATAAAAGAGTAAAGTATTTTTATATACGATATTTAAATTAAATATTATTTAAGTTTCTATTTAGTACTGTTAGGCCTATCATTTATGTTATCACAAGACCACTCTTCGGATTAATATTCAATGTTTACCTAAAAGACTTAAGGCAGTAAAGAAAAACAAACAACTATAAGAATTAAAGCGGTAATGCTGCTTAACCCATTACATCATAAATTTGTTTTATCATATTTTAATTTTTTTTTGTGTAATGTGATAGAGTTATACCTTGAGATCATGGGAAAAATAAAAAAAAAAATTATTTATATAGTGTGTAAATTAAGTATGGAAACAAATCTGTATTTTTTAAACCAAAATAGATAGAAATATTTGGTTTGTGGCATTGACTGTTAACCAAGGTTCCGGAATTTTTTGCATCAGAAAAAATTTTTCACCCCCTCAGGGGGGGTAGGGGTAGGGGGTAACTTAATTTTTTTAAATAGCAACCCCTATTGAGTGACCTCTCATTTTGAAGGGTTTGTCAAAAGAAATACAATGCCGTAAACCTGAGGTCGATATCTTACCCCTAACCAGAATGGCGGCCATTTTAAATTTCGAGATGGGCAAACGAAATCCAGTGTGGATACCCATAATTTACCTTTTAAATGGGTTACATTGGGTAAGCCGAACTCCAGATACCATTATTAGATTGAAAAGTGGATGTTTTTATCGTATTCAAAATTTTGCCCCAGCCCCGTGCAGAATGATAAAAAATCCGTTTATCCTAAAATAAATGGTGGTCAAGAACCAAATGTCAATTAATTATGTTTATAATTATGTAATAAAATTATAAAAAGACATTTTATAAAAATTATTATAGTAATTAAGTAAGAGAGGAAATTATGAAATAGTAAATTGAAATTTTAGAAATAATTTAAGTAGCTTTGGTTATCTCAGCTCCTTCGAAATGCAGATGCACAACGTAGTTTAAAAACGGTTTCTAACTTGGGATTTCCCATTTACCCTTTCTTATCAGTAGCTGTTTGGGTTTCTAAAGGATATTCTTTCGATAATGTTTCATCTACTCATTCTGGTTTAGTTAATTTTGTAGAGAGAGGTGTATTCAAGTGCTTCTGTAGTTTTGTTTAACAATGGTTCTTTTAAGTACACAGCAAAAAATTGACATTCTCCGCATTGTTGGGTATGGGGATAGGTCACGTACATATCAAGAAACTTGTGAGTTATTTAATGAACTGTACCCAGATCATCAAATAAACCGATCTACGGTAAGTAAGATCTGTACTAAGTTCTTGGAAACAGGGGATGTAGCAAATAAAGCTAAAACTGGTCGACGTAAATCAGTTGTAACAGAAGACATGACACTGAATGTGCTTTTGAGTATTCAAGAAAATCCCATTACATCTACTCGTCAGCTCGGTAGTAATCTAGGTTTAAGTCACACTTCGGTTCATAAAGCTCTGAAAGCCGAAAAATTTCATCCTTATAAGGTACAGCTAATTCATGAATTGAACGAGGATGATTTTGATCGTCGAATTCAATTTTGTGAAGAAATGATGCAGCGGTGTATCCAAGATCCGTTATTTAAAACAAAAATAGTATTTTCTGATGAAGCCTCATTCAGCCTCAATGGACACGTCAATAGACAAAACTCGAGGTACTGGTCTGATGAAAATCCACATTGGGCTCAAGAATGCCATACACAAAACCCTCGGAAGATTAACGTTTGGGCAGGAATAGTTGGATTTAGGGTAATTGGACCTTTTATAATTGAAGGTAATTTAAATGGTGATCGTTATCTGGACCTGTTGCGCGAGTCTATTGTACCCGCTATTTCAAGAGAGTTTCCTCCTGAGGATGAAGAGCATGCCGTGGATGAAAGTATTTGGTTTCAGCAAGATGGCGCTCCACCCCACTTCGCTGTAAATGTAAGGGACTATTTGGACCAGACTTTTCCAGATCAGTGGATAGGTAGAAGGGGTTCCATAGAATGGCCTGCAAGATCTCCCGATTTGTCCCCTTTGGATTATTTTTTATGGGGATATCTTAAGAGTAAAGTGTATGTAAATCGACCAGAAAACTTACAAGAGCTTTCAGAAAGGATTCTGGCGGAAGCACGGGCAATTGATCAGCAAACAATTGGCAGAGTATTAAACGAATTTTACAATCGCTTAGGACTTTGTCAAGTTGCTCTTGGCCATCAATTCCAACATCTATGAATTATTCAGGTAATAGCAGCAAACATTACTTTAATAGTAATACCTTTTGTCTGTGTGTGTGTTTTACAGTATTAAATTAGTTTTATTATGTGTTATTATTTATGATGTGTATTATTTGTGCTCTAGATTATTTATTTCCTGTCTTATCTGTACTTCAAACAATTCGTTTGTGACAGGTTTAGCGGTACAAAAGCTATAAAATGACTGATCACTCAATAGGGGCTACTATAACAGGCATTCAACATTTTTAATTGGTGAAATGGGCGCTTTTTTACCCAATCAAGTTTTTGAATGCCTGCCATTTCGTCTAGGGATGACATATCGACCTAAGATTTGTGCCACTGCTTTTGTCTTGACAAACCCTTCAAAACGAGGGGTCACTCAATAGGGGTTTGCGTTTAAAAATTTGGGGCTGCCCCCAAAATCCCCTATTTTGGGGGCTGGGGCAAAATTTTGAATACGATAAAAACATCCACTTTTCAATCTAATAATGGTATCTGGAGTTCGGCTTACCCAATGTAACCCATTTAAAAGGTAAATTATGGGTATCCACACTGGATTTCGTTTGCCCATCTCGAAATTTAAAATGGCCGCCATTCTGGTTAGGGGTAAGATATCGACCTCAGGTTTACGGCATTGTATTTCTTTTGACAAACCCTTCAAAATGAGAGGTCACTCAATAGGGGTTGCTATTTAAAAAAATTAAGTTACCCCCTACCCCTACCCCCCCTGAGGGGGTGAAAAATTTTTTCTGATGCAAAAAATTCCGGAACCTTGGTTAACAGTCAATGCCACAAACCAAATATTTCTATCTATTTTGGTTTAAAAAATACAGATTTGTTTCCATACTTAATTTACACACTGTATATTAGGGTTTTATAGCGCGTCCGATAAATCGGACGCCATGCACTTCGGCTAGTTGTTTATTTTGAAATAGGCTAATCAAATTCCACGTAACATAGATACCTTTTTCACTGTTTACTATTGGTCACTCTTGGTTATGAAGTAAACAACATTTCAATATAACTTTAATTTATTATTACATTATAACAGATAAAAAGAACTCTTACTTTGAACAAAACCATGAAAAAATTAAGCCTCTGAGAAAAATTTTCATAACTTCTGGTAAAGGTCTGTTACCACACAACAAAGTAACAGTGAACATGATGTATCTAATTTGTGTGGTACTGCAGAAAACACTTTGGGTGGAGACCAATGTTACATTTGGAACAAATAAACTTGGCCTTTCCTGGGCAGTTTCCGCAGCGCCGCTCAGTAGCATTCGCTACAGGCCAGTGTCCAGTGTTGTCATAGCGTACTCCCTGAAGTGGCTTAGGCTGTGTTCTTTGATATGATGGTTTTCCATATTTCTTTAGTAGCGTGATAGCCAAATTCCTCCGAAACTTTTAGGAGCTGATGAATTGCTAAATCTGCAGGCAAAAGTTTCCTGTTGAGAAGCCAAGCATTTACCACACATGCATCAAACAGATAGATGAATATTGGCCACCACCATTTCTTTTGTCGGATCCTCGTCCTGTATGCAGCAATGCCTTGGTCCAACAAGTCCACTCCCCCCATTCCCTTGTTATACTTTGAAAATACAGTTGGTTGTGGCACCTGTACCTTGGCTTTTTGTTCCCGTGACCAGCGACTTGCTCTCCCGACAGAGAAATTTTCGCAATTCGTAGCAACTGTACATACACTATTATCATGCCAGCGTACAACCATGATATTCTCGGCAGTACGAAAATCGAAAGATCCTCTTTCTTCGTTCTGCAAGTCTTTGATACTTTTCACCGTGCAGTGTTCCGTTCTATCTGCCCTCAGTGTACCTGTGGCACAAATACCTGTACTTCCTAAATGTTTGATTAGAGGTACTGATGTGAAATAGTTGTCTATGTATAACTTGTGCCCACTATTGGCAGGGACTTGGGCCTTTTCAACTAGTCTCATAACAACATCTCCTCTTAGGCCAAACTTGTCCAATCGATCTGTATCTTTACCTGTGTATATGTCAAATGCAACTAAGTAGCCAGAGGACGAGCAGAGAGCCTTATTTTTGAAGCCAAAGCGGATTGGTTTTCCCCTGATAAATTGCTTGGCATAGTGCCGACCATAATATGGTATCATACTTTCATCTACTGACAAGTTTTCATCAAGACCACCATGATGCAAAAAAGAATTACTCAAGCTATCGATGTATGGCCTGAGCTTATAGAGCCTATCAGAAGTGTCAAGGTTGTTGTTGTCATTCAGGTGTAGGAACCTAAGAATTTGTTCGAATCTGTTGCAGCGAATACTTTCACTTAACAGTGCTGGAGCATCATTTTCTTTAGACCAGTAGAGTCTCTTATTGGGGTACTTGACATAGCCAGAGAGCAACAGTCCTCCAAAAAACACAAGTAATTCTTCATTTGTCAAATTTAGGTTGACATTTTTTCGCAAAGCGTACAAGTTGCTTTGTTCGCAAATATGATCAAGAAGGGCGTTATTAAAAAATAAGGAGAAAAAATCAACTGGGGTCTCACATTCCATAGCTTCATCCGATGGTGGGATTGGATCACAGTCCATAACCATTAAAAATGATGGCTCACAGGTTTTCCACTGGGCCATGCGTGCTTTTTTCAACTCATCACCTAGTTGCTTTTTTGTTTTAGGCTTAGCTTTAGTTAGGTCTGAGTTTTTCGATTTGTTTGTATTTTTAGGTTTAGTCTTAGTCGTTTTTTTCATCTCAAGTTTTTTTTTTGGTGGAGGTAAACCGTCATCCCCACTGTCATCTACATAATCTATTTTCTTTTGTTTACGTTTTGGGCGAAGAGATTGTTTAGCACCATCTTCCAGTTGAATGTTAGTGTCAAATGTTATATTACTTGTACTTGCTTATGGTGACTTAGAAATAGACATTGTGTCAGCATTGTTGGCTGTTTGACTTTCCCATGAAGGTAGATCTCCATCTGGAATTAGTTCTGGATCATCAGGATCGTCCACTTGAACAGGAACAAAAGAGTTGTCTGTACTTACTTGCAGTTCTTCATAAACAGGTACCGCGTCGTTTGAAAGCGCTGTCTGAACCTCACAGGTGCTCTGGAGAATGCCACGCCCAAGGTGGTTGAGGTTGGCTTCGTGCTCATCATCTGATTGGTCACTGTCTCAGTTGGAGGAGTGACATAAATTAGTCTCTGAAGGCCATCATCAACATTTTCAAGCTCTGCAAAGATTTCATCAACAGTATACCTAAAACAGAGAAAGACAAAGATTATGCCTATTACCATAAATATTATGCCGTATTGAAGTTAAAAAAAATATATTAGGGCCTAGTGGAAATTCACTATACAACAAATTAAAAATTACAAGTTGTACGATTGCATGATGTCCGATAAAACGGACGCTTCTGTTTCAGACTAAGTTGTAGAAGTGCATGGCGTCCGAAAAATCGGACGCTGTTGTTTACAGTAATATAAAACGTTATAGAATGTCTATAATGATGCTTTTTTTGCTCAAATACCTTGGTTGGACTGTTTTGAGTCCTACATCACTTATCAATTAATGTATAAGTAATCCAAATTCTATATACAGTAGATGTAAAACTTACCTCTCGTGCGTCACGGAAAATAAAGGCCTGGGCATATTTGCCGCTCAGAAAGTGAGGTTATGTCATAAGCTGCAGACAGAGTGATGAACTAGTGCAGTAGGCAGTACTTACGTAGTGTGTGTGCCCGCACCCACTCCACGGAGGTAAGAAGGTTTGTTTCATTTGTTAATTTAGATTGGTTGATTAATTAGTAATCGATTGATTGGTTATTTATTTTTTTGTGATTTTAGTGATTTTTTAGCGATTTTTTCAGGATTTATGGGCTTATTTGCTTGATATTATGGCTGTAATTCCACTTTTAGTGCTAATATGAGCTTATTTCCCTGGTACTAAGCCTTTAACGGTAATTTTATTATATTCTACAGTCTAATTCAAGTAGTGGTGAACCCAGAAAGATAAGTCACTTTAGGCGTTTTTTCCCATAAGAATAACATGGGGATCATTTTTTGGCCACCAAAACCAAAAATCCTGATCTTTGCTCACATATCCCTATAAAATTGTCAAACCTTATTTCTTACTTATTTCCCATAAATATATTCGATATTAAGCTAAAAAAGCTATTTCTTATATTTATTGACCCTTACAAGTGTAAATGTAGAGTAGAGGCAATAGGGCAAAGAGACGCCACTTTAGGCACGTTTTCCCCATAAGAATAACATGGTGAGCTTTTTTTGACCACTTTTTAAAAAATCCAGCTCTCGGTCTATACAAGCCTATATAAATGTTCAATACCATTGTACAACTCCATTACAATTTCAAATCCATATCCATTCGCATGTATATTCACAAAATCATCAACTTGACAGTGCGAGGTTTGTACGTGCTCCCGGCTTATGGCGTGCTCCCGGTCATGCTCCCGACCTATGGTTAGGCTTCTCGCTCCCGACTCATGGTCGGTTTTCTCGTCTCTAGTGGTAGCTCTTGATTAAGCCTTGGGTGGGTGACCTCCTGTTGAAGTAATTTCTAGTTAAATTGTTTAAAATTTTTTTAATTTCTAGCTGAAAATTTTGAAAATTTCACAATTTCTGGTTAAAAAATTTTGAAATTTTGAAAGGTCTATAAATAGAAGTGACATTCGGGTGATATTTCATTCTGGACCATGAGGCCCACCTGTCAACACTGCTCTGTGTCGCTCTCCACCAAAAGTAACCTGTTTCGCCACTACAAGGTAATTCATCAAATGAAGGTAAAACTGTGCAAAGTTTGCAATTTAATCTGTGATAATAATGTGGCTTCAAAATCACATATATTACAAAATCACAAGACTTGTAATTTCTGTAAAATGAATGTTGTTGGACATTTTAAAAGACATGCCAATTCTTGCATCAAATGTCCATATACAATGATTAAATTGGTCGGTGAATCGATTAGAGCTGACCTTGAAAATACACTGAAGTCTTGTCCTCTTCCGATAAAATGGACTTTAGTTAGGAGAATTAAATTTATGAAATATTCAATGGATCAAAATGGAAAATTAGTTAATGAGAAAGAATGTATTGCGGATTTTAGAAGCCTTACTACCTTAACTATTGAGAAGAGAGATTTAAAGCCTCAAATTGAAAATTCACTTTTAAAGATTGATGCTTCTATACACAAATATCAAGCCCAAGGCAGTGGATGGATTTATGACCACACTAAGTATTGGCAGTTGCATATTTACAAGTACAAGCCCCTAACTCCAAAGTCATATATCCCTACACCAAAAAGTATTCAATCAAAACATGCAGTTTTAAATATTAAAAATGCTGATAATAAATGCTTCCTTTGGTCAATTTTAGCAGCTTTACATCCAAGGAATTGTATCAATGAAAATGCTGAAAGGGTCTCTAGCTATGCACCCTACATAGGGCAGTTAAATATGACAAATATAAAATATCCCGTAAAAATATCTGATATAGAAAAATTTGAAACACAGAATAATATAAGTGTTAATGTATTTGGAGTTGAAGACCAGAAATGTATACATCCATTAAGAACAACCAAACTGAATAGTAATACTCATATAGATCTATTATTATTACAAGAAGGTCGTAAATCACATTACTGTTTAATTCGTGATTTTAATAGATTAATGCTGCGGTCTACAAAAGATAACAATAAGAAGCATTTTTGCAAGTTGTGTTTACAACATTTTTACACTAATGATAAATTAGAACGTCACATAATGTATTGTCAAAACTTTGATGCCCAACGAGTGGAAATGTCTAAACAAGATACATTACAATTTAAAAATTTTAAATATCAACTTAAAGCCCCATTTGTGATTTATGCTGATTTTGAGTGCTTTATAAACTCTAACAACCATACTCCATCTGGATTTGCATTCGTTGTAGTGAGAGATTCTAAGATTATTTCTGAAGAGTTATATAGTGGTGAAAATGTTATGGATGTGTTTTTCAAAAGGTTGTTTGAGACTTATGACTTCATTAAAAGTCAAATGGCGATATATATTCCCCTTGTAATGACTCCTGAACAAGAGGCATGTTTCCAAAACTCAACGCATTGTCATATTTGTGAAAAGCCCTTATATTTTGATAGGGTACGTGATCATTGTCATTCATCTGGCCGTTACCGTGGAGCTGCCCATAATGATTGTAATTTAAACTATAAAGTAACAAAGAAAATACCAGTATTTTTCCATAACTTAAAAAATTATGATGGACATTTAATAATGCAACACTTGGGAAAGTTTAATAAACGTAAATTAAATTGCATAGCCAAGGATATGGAAAAGTATATTTCATTCTCAGTTGATGATTTAGTATTTTTGGATTCCTATAACTTTCTGTCCCTTCCATTATACAAATTAGCTTCCAATTTAAATACATTTAGATTCATAGACAATCCACTACTACAACGTAAAGGCGTATTTCCCTATGAATATATGACGGGACCAGATAAGTTTGCAGAGTCTCTACCCCCAATTGAAGCATTTTACAGTACTCTAACTAAAGAACATATCTCTCCCATTGAATATGAACATGCTAAAAATGTCTGGACCCATTTTAATATAAATAATTTACAAGAATATCATGATTTATATCTTAAAACAGATGTATTGCTACTGGCTGATGTCTTTGAGACCTTTAGAGACCTGTGTTTAAAGGATTATAAACTTGACCCCGTACATATGTATTCACTTCCTGGATTAACATGGGAGGCCTGTCTTAGAATGACTGGTATAAAATTACAATTATTTCAAGATATTGACATGCATTTGTTCATAGAAAGTGCAATCAGAGGCGGAGTCAGTATGATTTCCACACGTTATGCTAAAGCCAATAATAGATATATGGGTGAACACTATGATCCCAATCAAGAGAGTGTGTATTTAATATATTTAGATTGTAACTCGCTATACTCTACAGCAATGTGCGAGCCACTGCCTGTGGATGGATTCCGTTGGACTAATGAGATAGACTACAAATACAATCAAAATGATGAGTTTGGATACATTTTAGAAGTTGATTTAAAATATGATAAAAGCTTACATGATTTACATAATGACTATCCATTAGCACTTGGGAAAATGAATGGCAAATTAATACCTAATTTAAATGACAAAACTAAATATATTTTACATTATAAAGCATTACAAAAATATGAGGAATTGGGTTTGATTGTTACAAAATACCATAGAATTTTAAAATTTAGACAGTCTAAATGGCTTGCGCCCTATATTAATTTTAATATTGAAAAACGCAAATGTGCTAAAACTGATTTCGAAAAAGACTTTTACAAATTGTTAAATAATAGTCTCTTTGGTCGAACAATTATGAATCAACGAAAGTTTCGTGACATATATCTCAAGGATGAGTCACTATTAACAAAATATGTCACTAATCCAAGGTTTGATTGTAGCAAAAAGTTTGATAACAATTTACATGCTATACATTTAAATAAATTAGTTGTAAAGTTTAATAAACCTATATATTTAGGAATGACAATTTTGGATATCAGTAAAGTAATAATGTATGATTTCCACTATAATTATATGTCAAAATTTAAGAACAAAAGATTTCTTATGACAGATACGGATTCTTTAATGTATTCTATAGTTACAGAGGACTTTTACAAGGAAATAGAATGTGACTTGCACTATTTTGATACCTCTGGATATAGTAAAGACCATTTCTTA